AGTATCCTCCCACTTGATTCACTTCTGGTCGGGAGACAGGATTCCTTGCACCTTGGGTAACATAAGGCTGTCTTAGGGTTGTGCCAATTTATTACCAAACATTGAGCCTGTGGGCTTTAAGTGGGAGTCTTATCCCATGAGCCTTATCTCAGCCAATTACTTTTCTTGACAATAGGAGCGGCTTCCTTTTCTCATTCCTTCTCTTCACTCCACTTTCATTTCCCCTGTCCTACTTCATCCCACTGCTTTCTCATTCTTCTTTCTGGGTGATACAGGAGATTACCTCCCTGCTCAAGGACAACTCCCTATTGGGCATAGTACATGCCGACAGAAAGTTCTATGAGCCTGTAAGCACTCCAGGTGAGGAAGTGGACAGGAGCCATTGGATATAACCAGACAGAATTTCGAGAAATTTTCATAAAGCTCCACTGAGAGTTTTAAAAAAATATATATGTAGCATGATTTTCTAGAAAAGGAAAAAGATTATTTAAATAGGATTTGAATCATGCAACAACCAGAGTGTCTCAACCAGGATGACCTCTGTATTCTGTTCCTAGGACACAGTTACTTTCATTTCCCCCTTTTTCAGACATAGGAAGACTTAACTTTTAAAGGTCAATGTCCAGTTGAAGGCAGAACACTAATCAGATTTTAAGGCCCAAAACTTGGGGACTAGACCACCTTGTGTTGAGGAAACTCTGCCGTGTGTGTGAAATCCATGGACACCGCAAATTAAATGACACTACTGCCCTGATTACTCCTTAGGATGTGGTCAAAGCAACATCAAATGTTTCTTCTCTTCCTACCCACAAGACAGTGTCCTGAACCTGTTAAATTAAGTCATTGGATTTTACTCTGTTCTGTTTACAGTTTACTATTTAAGGTTTTATAAATGTAAATATATTTTGTATATTTTTCTATGAGAAGCACTTCATAGGGAGAAGCACTTAAGACAAGGCTATTTTTTAAACCGCGGTATTATCCTAATTTAAAAGAAGATCGGTTTTTAATAATTTTTTATTTTCATAGGATGAAGTTAGAGAAAATATTCAGCTGTACACACAAAGTCTGGTTTTCCTGCCCAACTTCCTCCTGGAAGGTGTACTTTTTGGTGTTTAATGGTGTAGCTTGTTTGTGCCCTGTTGACATAAGTAACTGTTTCCTGGGTTTGCTTTTCTACAATAAACGGAGGAGGTCACCCACTGTCATTGGGCCACTCCTCTCCTTCCCCTATGGAAGCTCCTCAAAATGCCATAGTAGTATCTTGATAAAATAGTTTCTCCTCATCTCTCCCACATTCTCTCCTTTCTGGCTGTAGCTCCAGAGTGGTGAGAGGTAGTACTCTTCCACATTTCCCTGATCTTATCTTCTTCAGAGTTAACTACCAACAAGTTGAATGGCAACTTGACATTTTCCATCACCATCTGCCTCATAGTTCACCTCCTTTCCTTTCCCTTTGCCCACCAAATCCTCATACCTGCAAAGAACCCATTGATTTCCTTGTGCCCTCTTTTGGGGCAGCCCGTTGAAACTGAAGCACAGTCTGACCACTCACGATAAAGCAGATTTTTCTCTGCCTCTGCCACAAGGTTTCAGAGTAGTGTAGCCCAGTAGAGGGTGGGGCACCCTTTTCTCGTCACAAGAAGCCCATTCCTATGGAAGTCTAGCAAAGCAATACAACTCAGCCCAGCACACTCTGCCCCAGGACTCACGGCTCTGCTGTGCCTTCATCCTGGGCTCCCGTCTCTTCCATGACCTTAAGAACTCTGTCTGGTGGCTTTGCTGGAACATTGTCACTGTCGTGCAGGGAGCCTAGCACTGTGGCCAGGATGGCAGAGACTTCCTTGTCATCATGGAGAAGTGCCAGCAGGGGACTGGGGAAAAGCACTGTACCCAGACCTCATCTCCCTTCCTCCTTTTGCCCATGAACAAGATAGAGTGGCCCTAGGGGTTCCACTCGTATCTTGTTCCCTTTATTATTGCACTGTGTGAGGTTTATTTTGTAAGTCCTTTTATCCCTTTTTTTTTTTTTTTTAAAAAAAAAAAAAAAAAAAACTTAAGCTGCATTTGTTACTGAAATGATTAATGCACTGATGGGTCCTGAATTCACATTGAGAAAGACCCAAAGGCCAGTCAGAGGGTGGGGGAAACTCAGCTAACTAGACCTAGTTACCGCCCTGCTAGGCCGTGCTGTACTGTGAGCCCCCTCCTCGTTTCTCTTCTACCAACCCCAAACCCTGAGGATGGGAGGAACCCACATCCTTCCTTCTCCTGCCAGCTGCAGATGGTTTGCCTTGCCTTTCTACTCCCTCATTGTCAACCACAGAAACGAGAAATTCCTCTACAGCTCAGCCTTGAGTCCATTGCCAAACTTCAGCATACCTGCCAGCATCTTGGGGGATAAGCCAAAGTTTCTCTACAAGAGGAAACAAAGGCAAAAATGGCATAGCGATCTCCAAAACACCTCGTAAATTTGTTTTGAAAGTGACCAAGGTGTTGCAGCCTGAAGAACTGTGGTGGGTCATTTTCCCAAGCATCCCCCAAGGGACAAACCCCTATGGAGTAACAGCTGCAAACCTGGTCAGTTCTCAGTGAGAGAGCCAGCTCACTTTTAGCTTTGCTGCTAGAACCTGTCGTGGCTGCATTTCCTGGTGGCCAGTGTAAACTGTAATTAGAGTAGCTGCCTGACTCTGAACCTATGGCCAGAACTTGGTCCCTTGGCTCCCTCTGTTATGGTCCACCACCTCTAGCACAGCCCCTCCTATTTTTACACCAATAACAAGATTTAAGGGGGAAGCCTTGGCAGCTATAAGTTTTCAACCACACTCCTTTGCCGGGATCCAGCCCACCATCCTGCTCACCTCAGTGAAACACCCCGGCCAATGCAGTCAGCACTGCGCAGCTCTCTTGATTTAAAAAAAAAACAAAAAAACAAAAAAAAACAACAACACCTTTTAATGAATGTATATTTCTAAAGGACTGACATCAATCAAATTATCTGAAAATACTAAAGGTCAAAACCTTGTCCAATGTTAACATTTCAGTTTAATTTGGGGGTTCCTTTTTTTTTTTTTTTTTTTTTAATAGAAATCAAGTATGTTATTTTGAAGGAAAAGTGGGTCATTACAAAGGGCTGGGTGTAATTTTATGTTGAAGTTCCGTCATTTTAAAGCAATACAAGGTTATTGAGCAAATGGTATTGTGCCGAATCATGAATACCAGTCAAGTCTCGCACTCTGAAAACTTGCAACTTTTTTTGTTTGTTTTGGTTTTCAAATAAATATAAATATGATATATATAGGAACTATTATAGTAATGCACCATGTAACAAAGCCTAGCTCAGTCCATGGCTTTTAATTCTCTTTAACACTATAGATAAGGATTGTGTTACAGTTGCTAGTAGAGGCAGGAAAATGTCAGTCTGGCATTCCTCTGATTCCCTACATGGGGGAAAACCAAACCGTAAAGGGATGGTAAGCTGTCCATTCCTAGGATCAGAGAGAAATGTGAAAATGGTGTCACCTGGATCTTTTCTGCCCGTGAATGTTGCCAGTCAGTACCTGTACTCCTTGTTTCTCTCTTTTTGGTTATGAATGTTGGGGTTACCACCTGCATTTAGGGGAAAATTGTGTTCTGTGCTTTCCTGGTATCTTGTTCCGAGGTACTCTAGTTCTGTCTTTCAACCAAGAAAATAGACTTGTGGTGTTTCTTTTATTGAACTTTTAACAGTCTCTTTAGTAAATACAGGTAGTTGAATAATTGTTTCAAGAGCTCAACAGATGACAAGCTTCTTTTCTAGAAATAAGACATTTCTTGACAACTTTATCACGTATAACAGATCTTTTGTTTTTTCTTTTTCTTTTTTTTTTTTTTCCTGTGTTCTTCCAAGCTTCTGGTTAAAGAAAAAGAAAGAAAAAAAAAAAAGAAAACATGTCTGAAGTCCATCAGTGTTAACTCCCTGTGATGACAGGGATGAAGGAAAATACTTTAATAGTTCAAAAATAATAATGCTGAAAGCTCTCTACGAAAGACTGAATGTAAAAGTAAAAAGTGTACATAGTTGTAAAAAAAAAAAAAAGGAGTTTTTAAACATGTTTATTTTCTATGCACTTTTTTTTATTTAAGTGATAGTTTAATTAATAAACATGTCAAGTTTATTGCTGCAGATGGTTGAGCTTTCTTTTGGACCCTGGTTGGGACCGGAAACTGGATGGGAGGGAGGGGTTGGATAGCCTACAACCAGACTACAAAGTACCTTCCACAGTCCTTCATTTTAAGGTGGAATCAGTAGATCATTTCCCACCCCCTTCCCAGTTCCAAGGAACCCTGGTGTTGCTGTGGGTTAGGCACTGGGCTACTAACCACCAGGTTGGTTCAAACCCACCAGCCACTCACTCCACAGGAGGAAAATGAGAGACTGGTCCCATAAAGATTTACATCTAGGAAACCCTATCTAAGATCACTATAAGAATCACTCAATAGCAGTGGGTTTGTTCCTCAGGTTCCAATCCACTGACTCTCTAACTGAATACAGTTTTTGGTTTTTGCTCATCAATCATGATTGGGACCTAATTAATTCTGGACACGAGAAGGGGTCAGGAAGACAACAAAACAGTTCTTTTTCCATCTATTTAGCCTTCCCACCACTATCCAGAATAGGTCAAGCAGTGGTCTCTAGCAATTTGTACACATTCTGACTATAACAAAAGCAGTGCAGGGAGAAGTTCGAGAGTGCCGTCTCTTTGCTCCACCTTAAGACCAAAATTGCATTTGTTTACTCTGTGTTCCTACCCTAAGATGGGGGTTGCAGTTGAGAAAGATCTGTAAATACCCTGTCAGAGTCCTGGGCCACTAACCTGAGGCAGAAGGGGTTGAACTTACACTACAGCCAATAGATAGAAGAAGCTCCTCATTGGGGGAAGGTTCTCAGACAGAACCTCCCCCTCAGCTATTAGAGGCTCTGGCCTGCCCTCCTTTGTCCTCTTTATTCTAAGTCACACTTTTGGAATCTGGAGTTGTGCGCCATGGGAACTCCAAATGATCAGGCAGTGTTGCAGGCCATCTTCAACCCTAACACCCCATTTGGAGATGTTGCAGGTTTGGACATGGGAGAGGAAGCAGAGGACGAAGATGAAGGTGAGCCTTTGACCTTGGAGTATAGCACTTTCCTGTGGTGGAGGTGGGTTTTTTTTAAGGCCTCTTGTTCCAAGGTCCTGGGATTCTGATTGAGAATGTAATCAAAGAGGGTGCATCTTGAGTGCATTGATACTGATGGGTCTGATAAGAGTCAGAGGAAAAAATGAGGGTTTGTCTCAGTCCTTCAGCCCCTACAACTTGGAAATCACTTCATCACTTAATTCACCCCATTATCCACACTTCATTCTGTTTATTTTGAGTAGGAATGAGAGGTTAAAACTCCACTTATTTATCATAACACAGAATATCACCAAACATATGATGGAAGATAGAAACAAAGCAGGGGGTGGCTCAGTTGAATGGCTTCCAACATAAGCAAACAGAACCAACAGTCAGTAAGTACTATTACAGGCCAAAACCCTCAAGGTGCAGTAGTTGGACACTCCGCTGAGAACTGAAAGCTCAGTGTTCCCAACCCGCCAGCCATTCAGCAATCTGCTTCCATAAAGACTTCCAACCTTGAAGTCACAGGGTCAGCAGTTCAAACCCACCAACTCCTCAGAAACTTTATACAGGGTCACTATGAGTCGATTAAACAGCTTAGGGGTTTTGTGTATTTTCAACAAGACTACGTAGGATTTTTTTGGTTTAAGGTTTAAGACTTGCCTCAGAGTAATTGAGACTTTCTCAGGGGTTCATACAACCTTAACTGTTCTATAAAATCTGAATTTCTTTAAAATTCTGTTCTGTACTTTCCCCTTTTGATCAGAATTCTATAGAATCTATGTACATTAATGGTACCTGGACATCATCTAGTTTTGGTCTACAGCAAAGGAGGCAGTACAACAATTGGTCTTTATTTGCCAAGACCAACAGAAGAAAAAAAGTCAGGAATTGGAGGAGAAAATGGAATGCATGGCTAATGACCTCCATGAACAACAGCATCTGGTCTTTCTTTTATTAGTTTAGATTCTACTTTTTTCTCTGGGTATTTTGTTAATATTGAAGCCCTATCATGAGCCACTGTCCTAGGTGCTAGATATGAAGTGATGAGTAGTATAAACTCCCCTTCAGGAAGTATATGGCTCATGGAGAGCTGGGAGTCCAGATCACACAGAAAGACGGCTGCCAGTGGCTGACAAGGCAACTGAGAGTGGAGATAATAAAATGTTGTCATGACAGAGTTGGGAACTGAAAAGGAGTTTGGAACAGGATCAGGATTGTTAAAAAGCAGTTGGGAAGAGGATAAGGATTATTATTATAAGGAGTTTGGAAAAGGATACAGATTTAGTAAAGTAGAGAAAGGGAGGGGTGGAGTAAGTGAAATTCATTAGTGTTTGTTGGGAAATGAATCAATGTTTCTTACTGCAAGTTAGATGAGAAATAAGGCTGTAGAGGTAGGAAAGCAAGAGCAGCAGGAAGACCAGCTATGGAATTTGGACTCTTATGCTCTGTGTAATCCAACCAAGGTCCCTTCCCTATGTCCCTTTGCCACTTGAGCAGTGCTAGCTCCCATCCTTGATGACCTCAGCTCGTCCATTCCTAAACACTGCACCTAAACCCTCAAGGGACCTTTGCTTCTTGGCTCCCAACTTCACATCTACCTGTCCCTCCCTGGCACAGATGGAATTTTCCCTGGAGAACAACTGGAACAGTCAAAGGCCCTGGAGCTCCAGGGGGTGATGGCAGCAGAGGCTGGGGACTTCAGCACAGCCCTGGAGAGGTTTGGACAAGCCATCTGCCTGCTGCCTGAGAGGGCCTCTGCCTACAACAACCGCGCCCAGGCCCGGCGACTCCAGGGAGATGTGGCAGGTGAGGAGACATCCTGGAGCCTCTGCAGAAGGGATCTGGAGCACAGACCAGAGATGAAGTGGCTGTGGGGCTGGTATTGTGTCTGGGAGGGAGATGTCACCTAACCCCTCTGAAACCTGTACTCTTATCTATAAACTATCTTGTATGAGCCCTGTTGGCCTCACAGGGTAATTGTGAAAGAAGAGATTAAAACCTACTGCTATGGAGTCAATTCTGACTCCCAGTGACCCTGTAGGACAGAGTAGAACTGTCCCATAGGGTTTCCAGTTGCAAATCCTTATGGAAACAGACTGCTTCATCTTTCTCCCATGGAGCCATGATACATTTGAACCACTGACTTTTAAGTTAACCATCAAACACTTTAACCACAGTTTCACACAGTAATTGCATATTAATAATAAATGTTAACATTTATCGAAAGCCTACTCTGTGACAATTGGTAAGGTGCTTAGGACAAAAAAATTGTTGGTGGTGGTAGGTGCCATCAAGTCAGTACCGACTCATAGCAACCCTATACACAACAGAACGAAACAATGCCCAGTCCTGGGCCAACTTCACAATTGTTGCCACACTTGAGCCCATTGATACTAACACTTGGCCAATCCATCTCACTGGGGGTCTTCCTCTTTTTCTCTGACCCTCCACCTTACCAAACATGATATCCTTCTCCAGTGACTGGTCCCTTCTGACAATATGTCCGAAGTTTGAGAGACGAAGTTTGGCCATTTTGGCCTCCAAGGAGCACTCTGGCTTCACTTCTTCCAACACAGATCTGTTGGTTCTTTTGGCAGCCCATGAAACATTCAATATTCTCCAACACCATAACTCAAAAGCATCAATTCTTCTACAGTCTTCCTTATTCACTGTCCAACTTTCACATGCATATGAGATTCTTGAAAATACCATGGCTTGGGTCAGGTGTACCTCAGCACTCAAGCTGACATCTTTGCTCTTCAACACTTTAAAAAGGCCTTGTGCAGCAGATTTGCCTAATGCAGTACGTCATTTGATTTCTTGACTGCTGCGTCCATGAGTGTTGATAGTTGATCCAAGAAAAGTAAGTCCTTGACAACTTCAATCTTTTCTCCGTTGATAAGAACAAAGATAAAAGATGTTATTTGTAGCTAGCATTTACAGAGCAGTTACTGTGTGCCAGGCACTGTTCTATGTTGTAGTTAAACACCGAGTCTGTTCTGACTTTTTGACCCTGTACAGGGTTTCTGAGTGGCTGGTTAGTTTGAATGGCCAACTTTGTGGTTCAAACGGACATTTTGGTCCATTGTCTATTCTACAGTGCCACACCAGGACTTTACATATATGATTGCTTAATCCTCACCACCATAAAAGAGATGTGCTATTATTATCGCCATTTTACAAATGAGAAGCTAAGAGTTAAGTAACTTGCCCACTAATCACACAGCAAGAAATGGCAGAGCTGGGATTTGAAGCCAGGTGGTAGGGTTCCACAATGTGTTCTTTTAATCCCCACAAGATATTGTTCCTCCAGGAGCTCGCATCTAGGAGATCGAACAGACCCAGTATTACAATACTAGCAAGAAAGGGAGAAGGCTCTCTGCTCCTGAAGGGTGAGTTCTGAAGGAGTAGTAGAAGTAGGAGAAGGTAGAGCCTGCAGAGCCCAGATGGCCCATGGCCTGAAGAGAGAAAAGGATTTTAGATCTCCAGACAGCAGGGAGTGACAGGCTGGATAACAAAAAGCCAAGGGCCAGCTGGTGAAGACTTCTGAATGTCAGGCTGAGGTCAGAATGTGTCTTGAAAACATGGGGAATCACCGAAGTTTTAACTAGGGAGTGACTGGATTAAATTTACTGCATTCGGGTTGTTCTGGCTGGAGTGGGGACAGAGGGGGCCATGCTGGAACCAAGAGCCCAGGCTCATGCAAAGATGTAAGCCATGGAAGGGTTGTGGGGAACTACTTGATTATTACTATTAGTGGTGATGAGCTAACTGCTCCAGGACCCTCAATGCCAGGTTGGGGAGTTTGGATTCAATTCTAGGAAAAATGGGGAACCCCCAACCTTCCCTTTTCAGGGTTTGTCCAGGGTAGGGAAATAGAAGTCACTGGAGACAACCTGTAAACCGAAACCCAAGAAGTGCAAAGGCAATTCTGCCTGGAGAGACTTTCCATTCCCCTCTGAGGGAAACCAAGGACCCTGCAGTCTGAGAACTTCAGAACTATCAAGGGACCAAACCACACATAGACAGGACAGGAAGACTAGTCATGTTCCAAAAAGATGCTGGAGATCCTCAGGTACCCTGCCAGGCTCTTCAGAAGACTGGAGATGAGAGTAAATTGAGGCAACGCCTAAAAGAAATGCAGGCTGCTCAACCAGAGGTCTGAGGTTTCACACTACTTTGAAGACAATAAAAAAATAAAAATAAAATAGTGGAAACCAGCTCTGGTTCCACATCTCCTACAAAAGAAATTAGGTACAAATCATTTCGATCGGGGAGATTAAAGACCATCAAATGGAGTCCAAGAAACAGGTGAGAAACAGCTGTTCTAAAGCAGGCTGTGGGAGGAAAATCCTCAAAAGGAAATGAATGAAAAATGACTTTATTTGTACAAAGTAGTTACACATTTAACTAATTTGGGGGGACCCTGGGATTCAGATTCAGTCACTATGGCTGGTGCTTAATGACATGTATGTGATAAGTTGCCTGCTATGTGCTCGGTTCATTAACCATTCTATAATCTTTGGTGTACTGTCGATTTTAACTATTGCGACCCCAAATGACAAAGTGTAACTTCCCATAGGATTGTCTAGCCTGACTCCTGGTGTGGCGCTTTAGGATCAGCCACTGGACCACGAACCAGAGGTCCGCGGTTCAAATCCACCAGCTGCTCCTCGGAAAGCCTATACAGGGTCGCTGAATCAGAACTGACTCCACTACTCTTAACAACAATCTTTAGGGTAGCTGATCACCAGGCCTTTCTCCCCATAGCAGCTGGTTGTGGGTTCCAGCCACCATCCTTTAGCTTAGCAGATTCGTGCCTAACAATCGCACCACCAGGGCCCCTTTTTGCTTATCAAGTGGTGAGGAAATAGGTGCAAGGAAGGACCTGGATTTTATAGTCCCAGCTCTGCCACTAACTGCGCAGGTCAGAGCACGGTTTCTCCCTCTTTCATTCTTCATCTGTGTAATGGGAATAACAATCCCTAACTCTAGGATCAAATTTCTGCGTCTGTGCAGGCATGTAGTAAAAAGGCCCGATCCAGTGACTACTAATGTGCCGGCTTGGGCTCCTGCTCTAACTCTTGCCCCGTCCGCCCCGCAGGCGCCCTGGAGGACCTAGAGCGTGCAGTGGAGCTGAGCGGAGGTCGGGGTCGCGCCGCCCGCCAGGGCTTCGTGCAGCGCGGACTCCTGGCGCGGCTGCAGGGCCGAGACGACGACGCCAGGAGGGACTTCGAGCTGGCGGCGCGGCTGGGGAGCCCCTTTGCGCGACGCCAGCTGGTGCTGCTCAATCCGTACGCCGCGCTGTGCAACCGCATGCTGGCCGACATGATGGGGCAGCTGCGCGGCACTCGCAATGGGCGATGAGCGCGAGGACGCTGGCGGGGATTGCTCCAAACCAATAAAGCAGCTGACTCCTCTTCCGATTCTTCTTGTTTCGGCGTCCAGCCCCCACCCCCACCCAGGGCCCCCGCGCCAGCCTCGCAGGTGGAAGGGAGCCAGGCAAGCAAGTGTACCCAGCGTGGGCGGCCCTCCGCACATGACAGAACCGGCCGGGGGTGGGGTGGGGTGGGGTGGTGGTGGTGGTGAGCCTCCTCCCGCCCACCTGCCCTGGGGGAGGGGCACATCGGGCCCGCGGGTCGGGCATTGATTGACACTGCCTGGCGCAGCCCGGGCCCCTGCAGCAGACTGCGGTGCTCATCAGACCTGAGCAGTTGCTCGGGCTGCTCTTAGGGAGGGAGCCAGGTGAGCAGCCGTGGGATTCTGGGGGCGGGGTGGGGCCGCAGATACTGGGTTCCTCCTCTTTGGTACAAACCCACTCGAGCGACCTAAGGGACTGGAGAGGGGGCTTAGTGCGACAGACGGGAGAAGGAGTGGGGCAGGAGAGAGGCAGAGGTCGGGGGACGAATGATGCCTTTGGGGAAGTCTGCGTGTTTGTGCCTGGGCTTGTGGAGGGGGGCGGTACCCGGTTGCTCCTAGTCTCCGTTTCTCTGTGGGTTTGCGATTCGCCCCTGAGAGAGTCAGTGCGCGGTGCTGCGCCAACAGAGTGTCCTAGTGCGTTCTGGGTGGATTTTTACCTTTGGGTTTAGCTGTTGGTGTCTCCCTTAGCCTCAGGGGAATCTGTTTCCACACACTTCTTTTTGTTTATGGAGAGTCAATTCCGGGAGGAAAAGTCGTAGCCCCGCCTCCTCTCGCCGGCACTAACACTAAGGCCCGCCCCCTTCTCTCAGCGGCCTGGGGCTCAGGTCCGGGCCACTATGGCACTTCCTCCACGGGCTGCTACCCTCCCGCACACACTGCTGCTGCTGCCAGTCCTTCTGAGCTCAGGTACACCCTTGTCCATCCTTTGGCCAAGCACTTTTAGGGCCCAAAGCTCCCTTTCTCCCATCCTTGCCCACACCATCTGCAGGCCCCAAGCTCCAGCTCCAGGTTTTCCCCACCCACCTACCTACCCAAGGTCCAGCGAGTACCTTGTCAGCAACCCAGGTTCTTTGCCTCTTGGCCTGCTGCCTCTGTAAGGGAACTTTGATCCTGGTCACAGCACAATACTAGCCTTCCCCCACCCCTCCCCAGAGGCCCCCTGCTGTGTTCCAGGTTGGGGGGAGTTGGCGCCACAAATTGATGGTCAGACCTGGGCTGAACGGGCACTTCGGGAGAATGAACGCCATGCCTTCACCTGCCGAGTGGCAGGTGGACCTGGTGTCCCTCGGCTGGCCTGGTACCTGGATGGACAACTGCAGGAGGCCAGCACGTCTAGACTGCTGAGTGTGGGCGGACAGGCCTTCTCTGGAGGCACCAGCACCTTCACTGTCACTGCCCAAAGGGCCCAACATGAGCTCAACTGCTCCTTGCAGGACCTGGGCAGTGACCGATCCCCCAATGCCTCTGTCATCCTCAACGTACAATGTGAGTGCCCTGGAGTGGGTAGGGACCTTTGCCTAGGGACCCCAATAGCCACTGGGCATGTGGTTCGAGAGGACATTTAACAATGAGCACATACTATGTGCCTGGTACTTTCTGAGCACTTTTCAAATATTAGCTCTCTTAGAGTCCTGATGTGGCACTATTGGATAAAATACTGGATCACAAGGTTGACGGTTCAGACTCACCAGCCGCTCCTTGGAAACCCTCTACGGGGTCACTGTGAGTCAGAACTAACTCAAAGCCATTTAACAACAACAGTAACAGTCCTTGTGATAATCTATAAGGTCATTTACTCCTGTTAGTCCCATGTTGCATATGAGAAAACTGAGTCACAAAGAGGTTAAGCAATGTGCTACTGGTGGTAAGTAGCAGAGCCAAGATTCAAATTCACTCATTTGGACTCTAGTGTCCATGCTCTTAATCTCTATGAATGCTGCCTCTCCTGGTGGCCCTGCTTCCCAGGAGGAAGTCCTGCCCCAGGAGGAGTTCAGTCCCCAGGCTCCATTCTGGGCTTGGGAAGAAAGGGGCCTAGTATGAACGCGGTGATGAAAGCATATTATTGGCTTCTGCTTTGTCCCAGTTAAGCCAGAAATTGCCCAGGTTGGAGCCAAGTACCAGGAAACTCAGGGCCCAGGCCTCCTGGTTGTTCTTTTTGCCCTGGTGCGTGCCAACCCTCCTGCCAATGTGACCTGGATCGACCAGGACGGGCCTGTGACTGTCAACACCTCTGACTTTCTGGTGCTGGATGCACAGAACTACCCCTGGCTCACCAACCACACGGTGCAGTTGCAGCTCCGCAGCCTGGCGCACAACCTCTCAGTGGTAGCCACCAATGATGTGGGTGTGACCAGTGCTTCTCTTCCAGCCCCAGGTGAGCATTGCCAGCAGCTGGCATAGTCAGACCTCAGGTGAGTGCAGGGATCATGGTAAGAAATGGGGGCAGGAGGGCTATCCTTTCAGTGAGTCTTGTGGATTACTGTCCACCCCCACCTTGAGCAAGGAAGACAGAGGGGTGCCGATGGCATCTTGGAATCTAACTAAGGGATAACCTGCAGGGCTCCTGGCCACTCGGGTGGAAGTGCCACTTCTGGGCATCGTTGTGGCTGGAGGGCTTGCCCTGGGCACCCTGGTGGGTTTCAGCACCTTGGTGGCCTGCCTGGTCTGCAGGAAGGAGAAGAAAACCAAAGGTAGGGCCAGGGGCTCTGGGGGGTAGAGGGCAGCTGAGGGGGATAAGCAGGGAAGGAGTGGGTAGCAAGGGCAGTGAGTGACACTGGGCAGAGCAGGTTGTCTCTAACAGGTTGCAGAAGACTTCAAGATAGGTACATGGGTGAGACAACATGCTTCCAGGTAGCAGGGCCAAGTACTGGGAACCCGGTCTCTGGGCCCAGGGTCAGGACTGGGCATCAGAGAAACCCTTGCCTGAGGGTCTTGGGTCAGAGAGGCTTGGGGGCAGTGAGTAAGTGGGGACCTTGAGGGTCAGCGGCACGGTTCTTTCTCCTCAGGCCCCTCCCGGCGCCCATCTCTGATCTCCAGGTAAGTCCCTGGGTGAATGGGCAGAACTGAAATGCAGGCCACAGAAGAAGCCTGAGGACTCTGGGAGGTCTGGAGCATGCCCCAAAATAGGAAGCTGTGCCTGCTGCTACCAGGGCATGCATAGCCTAGCCTTTGTCTGCTCTGCAGTGACTCCAACAACCTGAAACTCAGCAATGTGCGCCTGCCTCGGGAGAACATGTCCCTCCCGTCCAACCTGCAGCTCAACGACCTCACCCCGGATTCCAGAGGTACAGTTCTCCCTGCTCTAGTCAAGCTGTTTCAGAGAAAAAGAGAAAAAGCTTGGTGTTTCAGAAGGCCCAGGTACCGTCAGACTCCCTCCTCATCCTGGGCACTACCCTGTTTGTCACCCAGCAGGGAAACCAGCAGACCGGCAGGTGGCTCGAAACAACAGCCGGCCAGAGCTTCTGGACCCTGAGCCCGGCGGCCTCCTCACCAGCCGAGGTACTGGGCAAAGCCTGCTGCCCTCCTCTGCTCCCTGCCTCCAGTGCTTATACCAAAAGCCTCTGAGTTCTAGGGAACAGAGTGGGGTCTCCCAACTTCCAAGGAATGAGAGTCACTGAGTCCCTGGACATGTCTGACTCCGCAGGCTTCATCCGTCTCCCGATGCTGGGCTATATCTACCGAGTGTCCAGTGTGAGCAGTGATGAGATTTGGCTGTGAGTGGAGGTCCAGACATGGGTGCTGTCTTGGCTTCTGGGCACCCTCTCATTCCTCCTCCAAGGCACCTTCTGCCTGGCCTTGTGGCTAACATGAGGTCATACCATTGCCATTTTGGCTTTCCTACCTGGCTGGGTACCTTCTTTGTCATCTTCACTGTGCGTTTCACTAGGATCTGGTCCAGTGGCACCCTGGTAACCAGACCCAAGCCCCTTGTTCTAATGCAGTTGGCCTTTGCATAGGAAGTCTATGTCCAGGCACATGGACCCCAGGCACACTTTGACTATGTGTGCTCAGATGTCACCCAGCATCCAAGTGTGGTAGAGGCTTGTATGCTTGGGCCTGCTCTGTCCCTTACCCCAGTATGTCTCAGTACCGGGTCCAACGGGTGCAGGGGCGTGCCTGGGTGGTGAACAGGATCAGTTCTACCTGTCTTGTATTTCCCTCCCCTGCTATGCAGCTTCATTCTCTCGGGGAAAATGCAGGGCCCACTAGCTGGATAGAATTAACTGCTCTTTGCACAGGAACCAACCCCTGGCCCAGGGGCTTTGGCTAAGCACAAACTAGTACCTTTTGCTGCATCCCCCTCTGCCCTGTCTCCTCCTGGGCATCATAGGTTATATAATGGACTTTCTCCACCTCTTCACTGGGCACTAGCCTTCCTCACTGCCCTGGCCCCAGGTGGTGCCAGCGCCTGTTGTTTGTACAAGTTGTGAAGGAGAAGATAGAGGTAAGGAGAAAAGTTTGCTGGTTCCCAGCATGTGGCTAGGCATCATTTTCTTGCAGTATTAGCACTTTAAGCACATCCCCTGGGTGGAAAGGGTATTACAAGGACCCCAAGGTCACCTTTGTGACTTCCCCCAAGTATGGCCTTCCTATGATTCACTGTGAGTGCCCTGAACCCTCAAGTTGACCGTTTCCCTCTCAGTATGTCTCTCTCTCCATGGAACCCCAGCCCTGACCAACCATTAACTGCACCACTAGCAGGAAGCCCATCTAGGGGGGTGTTCTCTAGGGAGTGATCACAGTGGGCACACAGTGTAACAGTGCCAGAAGGTTTAAGAGGCTGTGGAGAAAAAGAGAGACCACATGTCCCCAAACAACCTAAGAACACTTCAAAAAGCAACATGGAAATGACTGCAAATTAATACAATGCAGAGAATATTTTCCCCATGTCAACAACTTGTTTAGTTTTCTCATGTTACTGCCTCGGACAGTTTATAAACTGAGCACACAGGAAAAACAATAAACATGACTGAACCCACGCGTCCCTGCTCCATTCCTTCCTTCAAATAGGGATTATAAATACAATGTTTCTGTCACACAGTAGGAAAAAATAGCAAACACCTGTGTACTTACCACCCAACTCTATTGAATGTTATTTTGCCATGTTTGCTTCCTGACTTTTATTTGTAAAAGTAAATAACATTTCTTAAAGAGCACTGTTTTCCTGTGGCAGGGCTGGCACTTTTGACGTTGAGATTGCTAGGTGGGGTCGTTTAGACTTTGGTTAGTGTACAATGAGCCCTTTTGTTCTGATGGACATGGAAGAATTTTTACGGGTGTCTCAGTTTATGTTGTGCTGCTATAACAGAAATACCACAAGTGGATGACTTTAACAAGCAGAAATGTATTCTCTCAGGCTGGAAGTGTGACTACAGGGGGCTGGCTCTAGCAGATGGCTTCTCTCTCTCAGTTGACTAAAGGGAGGTCCTTGTTCCTCCAAGATCTTCAAGTGGCTTGGCATCTACCTTTCCTCATGAGTGTTTGTTTGCTTGCTTGCTTTATCAATCTGCTCTTTTATGTCTCAAATGAGATTGATTTAAGACAGACCCACACGTATACTGCCTCATTAACATAACAAAGAAAACCCCATCCCCAAATGTGATTATAACTACAGGTATAGGGGTTAGACTTTACAACACATCTTTCTGGGTGACACAATTTGATCCCTAACACTGGGGGACTATAAGGGAGAAAAGGCCAGAAATGGAATGAGATTTTTTTGAGGGCTTTGGTGCGATGGATCACTTTTTTTTTGGTGGGGGAAACTTAAAACAACAATCATTTATTATTTCATGGTATCTGTGGATCAGGAGTTTAGAAAAGACACAGTAAGGAGGGCTTATTTCTGCTCAGGATGTCTGGGACCTCAATGGTAAACTTGTAGGCTGGAAGCTAAAGTCATCTGAAAGCTTGTTAAATGTTATCAAGTCAGCTCCAACTCACAGTGACCCTGTATAGGATTTCCGAGAAGTAGGTGGTGGGTTTAAGCTGCTGACCTTGCAGTTAGCAGTCTAGTGCTTATCCTACAACACCACACCAGGCCTCCTCTGAAACTTTATTCACTCACACATCTGATGATGGATGTTGGCTGTTGACTGAAGACCAGCTGGAACATGCACATGCAACCTCACTCGGCAGCAGCCTGGGCTTCCTTACAACATGGTAGCCAGGATCACAGAGTAAACATCCCAAGACAGAGAATCAATGTATATCTTACTGCATTTCATGACCTAGCCCTGAAAATCATGCAGCATCACTTCCATCAGACTCCACTGGTTGCTGTGATTACAAAGATCTGCCCAGACTCCTTTCCAGGGGAAGAAACTTAGAGCCCAGTCCCATGCTTCTGCCCAGGAAGCGCCTGTCTTCTGATGGTGAGATCAGACCTGAACTTCCCATCTGCTCCTGGATCACCTCTGAAGAGGGAGAGATACCTGCCCTTGTGGTTCAGTCCTAGCCCAGGAGTGGCTTCACCCTGCCTTCCATGCAGCTGCTTCATTACAGCATCCTCTCTCACTTTAGGGATCTGGTATGGCTGGGAGAGCAAGGTGAAAGAGGTGTGCTGGGCTGCAAGTTGATTAGAGGAATACTGTTGTGTGCCATTGAATCAGTGTGAGCTCTCAGCATCCCTACAGGGCAGAGCAGAACTGCCCCCATAGGGTGGCGATGGATCACTTTTTTATGGCCTTTCCCATCACCAAATAACTGGGAGGAACTATGCAAATAAATGCTTGTGGCCCTCCAAGGGTATTGGATAACTTGCTAATAACACAAGTAAGGTATGTGGCATCCTTTGTGGGGGTGGTGGTGGTTAAGTGCTTTTGAGTCATTTCAACTCATAGTGACCCTGTGTAGGGTTTCTAAGAAGCAGATGGTGGGTTTGAACCTTAAGATTCAAACCGACCTTACAGTCCAGTGCTTTATCCTGAAGCACCACACCAGGGAAGGAGACCTAATAAGGAGTTTGGTCAGTTTTGCCATTCTGCTAGGCTTAAAATTAAACATCCCAGAGGCAAAAACAGAGGGGATCTCAATACCAGCAAGAAAGAAGAACCAAGAGTGGAATGTGTCCTTAGACTGAGGTCTCTGTGATGAGAACTTCCTGGCCCCAGGAGACAGCTGTCACATCAGAGAAGGTACAAGATGGTGAGAAGCAGTGGCAGAATGCCAGCAGAGCCAGGAGAGTGGCAGGGAATGGTGCGGTGGGCTTCCTAGTCCATGGAGCAAAAGAGTTGAGTGTCTTCAGGCAGGAGTGGGGTGCCTCTGAGCATTTTTTGGTGGAGGTAAAGAGGTTTGTAACACTTGCTCAAGCAGAACAGAGGCCAGGCCAGCCCAAGAAACACAGGGCTGAGGTCCAGAGAGAGGATGCCTATGGTTATAGCCGAGAAGCTGTCCAGGCCAGAGAACTCTATCCTGAGTCATTCCTGATCCTGAATTGTAACCCAATACTTCTCTGGTGTAAAGGAACTCTGGTAGCGTAGTGATTACAAATCGGGCTGCTAACCTCAAGGTCAGCAGTTCGAAACTACCAGCTATTCTGCAGGAGAAAGATGAGGCTTTCTGGTCCCTTAAAGATTTGCAGCTTCGGAAACCCTGTGAAGAGTGACTATGAGTCAAAACCGATTCCATGGTACTTAACAACAACAACTTCTCTGGTGTAGCACTGTAGGATAAGTGCTGGTCGGCAATCCAAGCCCACCAACCATTCTTGGAAACTGTACACAGGGTTTTTAAGACGGAACTGACTTGATGGCACACATCTTCCCTAAAAGACCCCGTGATCATGACTATTGTCTCTGAATTCTGTGGGGCCATTGCAATGAATTATCAAACCCAGCAGGAGTAAAGATAGACAACTGATGTAGGAATTGCTATAAAAAGGTTGGAGAGTGAAGGTATGCCTGACCTCTACCTCATAGCAATCTGCCTTGGACTGTTGATGCTGAGAATGATTCTTTCTCCTTACCTTTGTGAAGTTAGCTGAGGAGGTCTGACGCTGCTGCCATAGTTGACACTATTTTCTTTAGAGCAAGGGCAGATGTACTTTGTCTAATGATAGATTGGCTGGACTTACAAAACTCTGGGGGTTTCCTGCCCATGTCCCTCACCTCTGCCTGGTTCAGGCTCCTCTTCCATGAGAGGGCTAGGATTGTCCCAGCTTCCTGAGAGAAGCATGGCTCTGACCTCTTTCCTAATTTTGCATGTGAGCCCCTCCATCACTCTAGAACTTTTGGGAGCCTGAATGCCTCACTGGTATTCAACTCTCATTTACTGCTGCTCCCTTCGGAAGTCCTGGAAAACCTTCCTTGGTGTTGCTTTGACAAGGTTACAAGCCCTGCATGCCTCTCAGCTACACTCCTGATCTTACTTTGGCAGGAAGATTTGCTCTTCCTGGCAAATTTCCCCTCCCTGCCAAATGTCGTTTGCTAGGCTGGACTTCCAAACTAATATACCAGTCTCCACACAAGTCCCTTAGCCAGGGGTTCATTGTTTCTTTGTTGACTCACATACTCCTTGGAGAGTTTGATGTTACAGACTCTTTTCCCTGAATATGCAGATTAAGAACCCCCTGCATGCTACACAGTTCTATACATTTGTCAGGACTCATCAAATAACAAGGAATAACCTTGAAAACATTCTGCTAAGTGAAAAAAGCCAGATATAAAAGAATGCATATGTTATGACTGTATTTATACAAAGTGTCCAGAGTAGGCAAA